TGGGGGGCCCAGCACAGCGACGCCACACGCGGACCCAAATTAAACCTCGCCATCCCTGGGGGGCTGCGATCTGTGAAACTGTCGCCACTTTCGAGGCTTGCTGGGCGGCCCAGCACAGTGACGCCGCACGCAGATTCAAACTAAACCTCGCCATCCCCGGGGAGCTGCGATCTGTGAAACGGTCGCCACGTTCGAGGCCTGCTGGGGGGCCCAGCACAGTGACGCCACACGTAGATTCAAATTAGACCTCGCCATCCCTGGGGGGCTGCGATCTGTGAAACTGTCGCCACTTTCGAGGCCTGCTGGGGGGGGGCAGCACAGTGACGCCGCGCGCGGACCCAAATTAGACCTCGCCATCCCTGGGGGGGTTGCGATCTGTGAAACTGTCGCCACTTTCGAGGCCAGCTGGGGGGGCCCAGCACTGTGACGCCACGCGCGGACCCAAATTAGACCTCGCCGTTCCTGGGGGGGCTGCGATCTGTGAAACTGTCGCCACTTTCGGGGCCTGCTGGGGGGCCCAGCACAGTGACGCCGCACGCAGATTCAAATTAAACCTCACCATACCTGGGGGGCGGCGATATGTGAAACTGTCGCCACTTTCGAGGCCTGCTGGGGGGCCCAGCACAGTGACGCCACACGCAGATTCAAATTAGACCTTGCCATCCCTGGGGGGGGCTGCGATCTGTGAAACGGTCGCCACTTTCAGGCCTGCTGAGGCCCAGCACAGCGACGCCACACGCGGACCCAAACTAGACCTCGCCATCCCTGGGGGGCTGCGATCTGTGAAACTGTCGCCACTTTCGAGGCCTGCTGGGGGGGCCAGCACAGTGACGCCACACGCAGATTCAAATTAGACCTCGCCATCCCTGGGGGGCTGCGATCTGTGAAACTGTCGCCACTTTCGAGGCCTGCTGGGGGGGGGCAGCACAGTGACGCCGCGCGCGGACCCAAATTAGACCTCGCCATCCCTGGGGGGCTGCGATCTGAGATCCCCGCTTTCGAAGTGGCTAGGGTTGCTCAGGGATTGTAACTAATCAGCTTTGTCTAGTCCTTGTCCTGTAGCCAGTGTCCTGCGAGTCTCCCGAATTCCGTCTGCAGACATATGTAATCCTCGCTCCGTCATCGCCCCCTTATAAAGTGTCCTAAACTATGTGCGCCTCGCGTTTGCGCAGGGGTTGGGTACGTCGCCAGGGTAATTATTCTTATTCGTCGTCCTCCTCCTCCTCCTCCTGCTCCTCCTGCTCCTCCTCCTCCTCATCCTCCTCCCCCTGCTGCTCCATCCGAATTCTCTTCCATCCTCCCCCTTTTGGGAAACGACGTCTTACCCAGCCCCGTATTCCACTGCATGCTCCTCCACATCCCTGATCAGGGCAACTCGTCTGGGCATCGCTTCTCGATGGGCTGGTGTTGCCACGCGGGGCATCTACAACAGGGCTCTCGCTGGAAACTGCAGACTGTCGCAACCGATGGAGGGCGGCGCCTGTCCGCAAGATGGTTCTGATCGGACTCGCCGAACTGTACCACTCCAGCTTAGATTCTAGAGTTAAGTCGGGCATGTCCTCCTACAGGCGGACTTTGGAGGACAAATGAAACAAAGTCAGAAAATGCCCACACATAGTCAAAACATAATCGAAACATCGTCCTCAGATCATTCTTTGACCACTCTCGAATGTAGAGGGACATGCCCGACCTAAGTCTGGATGATGGCGTACGCTTCAGGGTTTGCGCCACGGTCGCCGCACATGGCCGCCTCGTTGGCGCCCCCGTGCGCTGCTGGCTGCGTGGCCGCGGGCTTGCGCCAAGCTCGCCGCCCGCGGCGGCCTCGTGGGCGCCCCAGTGCGCCAGGGAATGCTTCCTGGATTGCGCCAAGGTTGATGGGCCTGCTTTCCACCACCACCACCATAAGGTGGAGGGGGAGGGGGTCCTCCTCTTCCTCCTCCTCCTCCTCCTCCTCCTCCTCCTCCTCCTCCTCCTCTTCCTCCTCCTCCTCCTCCTCCTCCTCCTCCTCCATTGCATGCCGTGGCTCGTCGGCAACAGTAAGCCCGACGTCACGGAGTGAGCCGAGGACGTCACGGATGAGCCAAAGTGGTGCTCGATTTCGTGTTCACGGTCGGGGGGCCTGGCACCTGAGGTGGTGACCAGGTCCCCAGTGCGCAGGCGCGGTCGGCACCGACCGTCCCCCGGGGCTCGCTCCTCCTCCTCCTGGGGGGGTGAGAAGGATGAGGCTTTCTCCGGAGGCGGCGGGGCTTCTCAAAAACCCTCGCGCCCTCCGAGAAGTCCTCCGCGTCTTCGGGGGAGGCTAGAGGCCTAGAAATGGGCACCAACACCAACACAAGGGGTTGCCTCCACAGGGGGAAGACGATCCTCGATTTCGGTGTTGGTGGCAATATTTCGGCCACCTTGGAAGCCAGAATATTACCACCATCACCGAGATAGGGATCTTCCTCGCACACCGCCGATATTGGTGTTGGTGTCAATCTCTAGGCCTGCGATAGAACACTTCTCAGAAGGCCGGGGGGCTTCTGAGCCTTCCGAGAGGGCCTTCTCCTTCCCATTTTCCCCCCCGGGGCCCGCGGCCGATCGAGGGCGCAGGCGGCGCAGCACCGTCCGCCAACTGGGAGTTTGTCGAGGTAGCGCGCAGCATCGAAAGTCGTGACGCGGCGCGTATGCCAGCTGTATGTTTCACCTCGCCTGTGCGACCTCCAGGCGTGTGAGGCGTGTTGGCATCTACGCTTACGTCCTCGCGCTCTCTGAGTGGTTCACGCCGCAGGGCGTACATAGAATTTTCTGGCATTTTGTCAGACTGCACGTTGCCCGAGCTTCCCTGGGTGCCCTCAGCCTGTCAGATTCACCGCGCGGCTAAGCAGCTGCTTTGTGAGCTGGCCCGGCCGGCCTGCTGCGCGCCTAGTAGCTAATTAGCCCTGTTTCTGCGCCCCGGACAGCTTCTGACTCCGCCTGCGCCTTCGCTTGCGGACGCGACCAAAAAAGTATGCCAGCTATCAGATAGCCATCGGCCCATCCCGCCACCGTGCTTGGGTTTTGGGACGGAGTCCTCATGGACGCTTCCTGGGGTCTCTCGAGAAGGCTCTCGGGGGCCTCTGCGGGGGGGTTTAGGGGCCTCTTGGGGGCCATCCCGGGGGCTTTTTGGGAGCCTCTTGGGGCTCTCTTGGGGCCTCTTGGCGCTCACTTGGGCCTCTTGGGGGCCTCCTGGGGGCCTCTTGGGGGCCTCCTGGGGACCTCTTGGGATCGAAAGCTCAAAATGTTCATTCGGGTTCCTCTTCTGGGCGCCCTCGTGGGGGCGTCCTGGGGTCCCTCTTGGGCCGTCCCGGGGGCCTCTTGGAGCCCTCTTGGGCTGTCTTGGAGCCCTCTTGGGGGCTTGTTGGACCGTTTGGGGGCGATCTCGGGGGCCTCTTGGGCCGTCTTGGAGCGTCGGTAGGCCAAATGGCGAGAACGCGAAAATCCTTCAAAGACCATCGACAAATCAATGATTGTTGTCTCTTGGGGCTCTCTTGGGGGTGCTCTTGGAGGCCTCTTGGGCCGTCTTGGAGGCGTTTTGGGCCGTTCGGGGACAATCTCGGGCGTCTTGGAGCGATCTGGAGCCGTCTGGAGGCTCTCTTGGACCGTCTTGGGACTCTCTTGGACCGGCTTGGGGCGCTCTTGGGTCGTCCCCAGGCTGTTCCGGACCTTGAAGGGCCTGAGGGGGAGTGGGGGCCCGGCGGCAGAGTTGGGGCCCCCTCGGAGGGGCTTCAGGGAGGTTTTTGACCAGGCACTGGCGAAGGGGGCCAAAGATTGCGCCACGCACTCTGCCAGAGTTCAGTCGGGGCCTGTCCCCCTACAGGGGGATCCGGGCCGAAACATTAAAAATGCTCCAAGACTGCTCCCCAGATGCCCCAAAAATGACCAAACAATGATCCCCAGACGATTTTTGTGCTACTGTTTTTGAATGCCTCTCCTGCAGAGGGACAGGCCCGACTTCATGCCAGAGAGGCCTCGCACTGCCCCGCCCGCCCCGCGGGAGCGGCCCGGGTTTCGCCACCTCCGTCACCTGCCGGCGGCGGCCCGCGGGCGGCTCGTGGGCGCCCCGTGCGCAGGGGTGGCAGTGGTCTCTGCCGGGCCGTCCTCCCCGAGATTATAAGTCGGGCCTGTCCCTCTACAGGAGGAGGATTCAAACATAGTCAAAACATAGTCTGGGGACTATTGTTTGACTATTGTTGGGCATGCTGGCGTTATTGTTGAATACTTGTAATTGTTCGCCCCAAATCCCCCTGTAGGGGGACAGGCCCGACTTAACCCTGAGGCCGGCTATTGGGCGAGCAACCTTCCAGGGGCCCAAGGGCACACAAAGAAATGCACACGAATCCCAGGATCCCCCATGTTCCCCTATGTCTTCTGAATATCTGCCTTCCCCCCCACTGCCCATATCTTCGAATCGTTCCCGGGGAATCGATGATAGATTGCGTCTGTGTGATTTTTTCCCCCCTGAAATCTGCCCGGTGCGGGCCACTTTCCCCGTATTCCTGCCGCGGGGAGGTGGTCAGGCATCGGGGGCCCGAGGTGCTGAGCCCGAGGCGCAAGCAGCTTTACCCGGGGGGGCGAACGATGACATAGACACAGGAACTCGGAGGTCCGCGCGAATTTCTCGGATCGGCGCTGGACCCCCCTCCCTTCGGCGGTGGACAAACCTACCTTTAGTAGACCTCCCCTTGGCGAAAACGGCCTGGGACCGAAACCGACGGACCTGGACCGGCAAAAATGACGGCCGTTGGCATGGGCTTCAACTGTAGTGTAGAAGGTGGCCTCACCCTGCACACAGCCCCATGGAGGCCATGCGCAGAGTCCTGTCCTCACCCTCTCTGGCTGCGTGGAGCGGTGCCCAGTCCCAGGCAATGGCTCAAAACCCTCTTCGCCGCCGTCGTCGTCGTCGTCGTCGTCCTCCTCCTCCTCCTCCTCCTCCTCCTCCTCCTCCTCCTCCTCCTCCTCCTCCTCCTCCTCCCCTGGTCCTCGTGATCGAACTGGTACTTCTTCTTCAACGCCCGCCTCGCCACAACACCGCCCGAAATCAGCTCGTCCGAGGTGGCCCGGACCGCGCGCAAGCAGTCTGCCGAGGGCAGGCACTCCAGCTTCCTGAAGTCGCAGGAGCACGTGCCGTAGTGCACCTCGTAGGGGCTCGGCCGTGATATCTCGTCAGAGTGCGCGGAGTCAAACCTCGAAAGAAGCGCCTCCACAGGGCGCAAGCATATGGATTGCAGCTCGAGGGCGCAGAGAAACCCCAACGTCCTCACGGTCCACATGCGCCCCGACACCGAAGTGTTAGGTCTTCAGAGTAGTGTGATTCATGAGCTGCCTTGGGCTTGGCAAGACAACAGCTGTACGCACCATTGACTCTTCTCGCCCTCCCAAACACGACCAAACAAAGCACCTCCTCCTCCTCCTCCTCCTCATCCTCCTTCTCCGGCTCCCGGTCCTGCGTTCTACGCCGCTCCTCTGTAAACCTCTGTCTGCTCTGGTGCTGCCCTCGCTTTCTCCGCCCCCTCGCCTCCCAACAGTCCCCGCCGCCGCCGCCCCCCCCCCCCCACAACTCTGAAGGGGCCCCAGGACACACAAATAAATACACACAAACTATCCCAGTGCGACCCTACCTAGGAATTGGAGCCTCTAGGAAAGCAACATTGGTAGGAGCGGTAAACGCCTGCTATGCTATGCTATGCTATGCTTGCTATGCCATGCTCTGCTCTGCTATGCTATGCTATGCTGCGCAATGTTATGTTGGGTTAGGCTAGGCTAGGCTAGGCTAGGCTAGGCTATGCCATGCTATGCTATGCTGCGCTATGCTATGCTGCGCTATGCTATGCTATGCTATGCTATGCTATGCTATGCTATGCTATGCTTTTGCTTTGCCTTCGCTTTTGCCTTCACTTTTGCCTTTGCTTTTTTTGCTTGGCACCCAGGGAGCGGAACTGGGGGAACCGCGCGTTTGCTTTTACCTTTGCTGTTGCTTGCTTGGCTCCCAGGGGACCGGGGGAACCGCCCGGGGCGGGTTCCACTGCCCAGCCCTTTAAGCCAAGCGAGTAAGAACCCTGCTAGGCAGAGCCTAGGTAGGGAATGAAAGGATTCCCCTATATGTTCGCATATTTTCTGGGTTTTCGTCTTCCCCCCCCCACTTCCCATATTTTCCCATATTTTCTGGGAGTCGACGATTAATTCTGTCTGTTTTTTTTTTTCTCCTCCTGAAACTCGCCTTCTCGTTGACCCTGTGTGCCTCGTTGCCTCCTCTCGCTCTGACTGCACCTGCCTTCCCCCCTCTCGCCCAGCACTCCCCCATGCCCACCTCTGCCGCTGCTTCCGCTGTTCGTGTGGCATTTGACCTCGTGCGCGTCAGCCCCACTCGTCCCAGACCCATCAAATCTGCTATGACCACTTTTAGGGGAACAAAAAGTGACATAAACATAAAAACTCGGAGGTCCGCGCGCATTTCTCGGATCGGCGCTGGGGCCCCCCGGCGGCGCCCAGCGCCGCCCCTGGCGCGCTCCGCGCGCCAGGGAGGGGGGTCCAACGCCGATCCGAGAAATCCGCGCGGAACTCCGAGTTTTTATATTTATGTCACTTTTTGTTCCCCTAACTTTGGCGCAGGTGCTGGCTCCCGCGTGTCCATCAACCTACCCCTGCGCCAGTATCTCAGCATGTTCGTTCGGTGCTTGGTTATATAGTGCTGGGTCTCTCCGTCTCTGTGAATGCTCCTTCGGTCCCCCAATGGTGGCACCCCTTCTGGTTGCTGCCCCCATGAGGCGCATGCCGGCGCACACATAGACTCGGCCACGCTCACTCTCTCTCTCTCTCTTTCTCTCGCTCCTTGCCCGTGTATCATATCAGAAATACACACTTAGTACACTCATGTTATGTGTGCGTCCAGATATAATGTATAGGATGTATGCATATGTCCTCCTCTCTCATCCTCGTTGCGTCTGGTTCAACCTGTTTCTATGTGTGCAGACGTGTGTTTCGAAATGTTTACCTCTCTCGCTATCTCTCTGTCTCCCTTTATCTCTGTCTCGATCGCCCCGTCCCCTCTCTCACACACTATGTAGAATGATGTACCCCCCTCTTCCCCTGGCCCTCTCATCATGTAAATATACACGTATACGCGTATGGAATCACCCTTCGGCTGTACCCCAGAAACGTATGATGTAGCATGCTTATACTTCTATGATTCGAACGTGTATGTGTGTATATACAAAACGTTTACGAGTGTGCGGAACACCCGCATACTCATGTCCCACGCGCCTCCGCAAGGGAAACTTGAATAGGCAATCGCTATGCCCGAAACACTCGCTTAACTTGATCTCGATCTCTGTCTGTCTGTCTGTCTGTCTGTCTGTCTGTCTGTCTGTCTCTGTCTGTCTTTCTCTTTCGCTCAGCATCTCTGTCTCCCCCTCTTTGTTGCCACATTGCCCCTGCGCGTCTACGCCAAGATTCCGTGCGCGCAGGCATTGCTCGCCACCATAATCGAATACTTGCGGGCCCCCGCCGCCGCGTCTGCGGGCCCCGCGCCCGCGGCCGCGCCTCGCCAATGACCGACCACCCGACCCAGAACCCCGACCTTCTTGGAGAAAGATAGCTGCCGTGTCGGGAGGAAGCGATTGGAAAGATACAGGGCACGACTGTGTCATACGCGCATGCAGCATCAGTTACGTGGTAGCACTGATGATCTGATCCTTCCTGCCACCCCCATCCCCAGACCCCCGACGTCATGATTTTGTTCGTAACGTCGACCATGGGAGGTCTCGACCCATTCCCTGGGACCGGTTTCTTTCATCCTGAGTAGTTTTTGTCACGGCCCCGAGGGCCAGTAAAGGCCTCGCGAGGCCGAAAATATAGAAAACCCTCCCGTCCCCAGACATGTGAGGTCCTGCTTTTCTCAGGACGGCGTCCCTGGAAGTCCCGACCCTTTCCCCGGGACCGGTTCTTCGTCCCGAGCCGTTTTTGACGGTCCCGAGGCACGGCGAGGGCCTCCGGGGACCGAAAATAACCAAAAAACTTCCCCTCCTGCTCCTCCTGCTCCTCCTGCTCCTCCTCCTCCTCCTCCTCCTCCTCCTCCTCCTCCCTCCTCCTCCTCCTCTCCTCCTCTCCTCCTCCTCCTCCCCCCCTCCTCCTCCTCCTCCCTCTTTTCTCCTCCTTTTTCTCCTCCTCTTCCCTTCTCCTCCTCCCCTCCTCCGCCTCCTCCTCCTCCTCCTCCCTCCTCCTCCTCCCTCCTCCTTCCTCCCCCTCCCCCTTCCCCTCCCTCCCACCCCCCATCCTCCTCCTCCTCCTCCTCCTCCTCCTCCTCCTCCTCCTCCTCCTCCTCCTCCTCCTCCTCCTCCTCCTCTCAACGGGGTCCTGGGTCGAGGGGTCCTGGCGTGCCCCGCGCGCGCGCGGCACGGTGCCCCGAACCCCCCGCGCGCGCGCGGCCTGCAGGGCAGGAGCGCGGGCCCGAAGCCGTGGGGCACCTCCAGCCGCAGGTGCTCGCCTGCGGAGGGGCGGGGTGAGGGGGGGGGGCGCCGCGACCCACGAAGACGGGGGCGATGGCGAGGAATGCGGCGAGGAGGGGGGCGTCGACCACGGCAGCCACGACCATGCTAGCAGCGATGCTCGCGACGATGAGGACGGCGCCGCTGCCGATCACGCCACTGACGATGATGGCGTCCACGTGTCGGTGATGACGTGCGCGCACGGCCGACGGGCGGGCGCGCACGCCGCGCACGTCGACGTGCGCTCACGGCCGACGGGCGCGACTGGCCAGGATCACGAAGAAGATCGTGTGGTGGTGGTCACCGCCGACCCGAGCAGTTCCAACCACACGCTCATCGCCTGTAGGCGCGTGGTTGCACATGTATGAGGCTGCAGGCCTGCCGTCGCGCCCCGTTTCTCCGTTCTGCGGGCTCCGAGAGCTGCAAGGCCGTCCATGGGTCAGCAGCAAGAGGCACGAGGACGACGCCGAGGAAGACGGCTAGGAGGAGGAGGAGGGGAATTTCAGGAGGAGGAGGAGGAGATGAGGGCATGGAGGAGGAGGAGGCGGAGGCGGAGGAGGAGGAGGAGAAGGAGAAAGTGGGGAGCAACAACAACACTCTTGCAAGGCTGCGTTCCAGAGCTTGGACCTCGATGCTTCCGCCCAGTCGTGGGTGCAAGCCCTGGCCTCCGTTCTCCCTGGCCTCTGGCCTCTCTTGCCTCTGGCCCCCTCCCAGGGCTTCGTGGGTGAGGGGGTCAACAACAAAAACAAAGGAGGACGGCGAGGAACCCTGCCAGAAGACGGAGAAGGAGAAGGAGGAGGAAGAGGAGGAGGAGGAGGAGGAGGAGGAGAAGGAGGAGGAGGAGAGGGAGGAGGAGGAGGAGGAGGAGGAGGAGGAGGAGGAGGAGGAGGAGGAGGAGGAGGAGGAGGAGAGGGAGGAGGAGGAGGGGGAGCAGAGTGAGAACGATGTCCTGATGCGATTGGCTCACGAGGATCTTGTTACTCAGACGGAGACGGAAGAGATGGGGTCCAAGCCCAAACTTCTGGCCGAGATCGACTCGTTCCCACCATAATGCCGATTCTTCATCCGGTACGTGATGGAGGCAGGCCGATGGTTTCGCCAGCGCGCAAAGTGTGCAAGACAACAATGTCAACAACAGGCAACAAAAGACTTGGCACGAAGGAAAAAGGGGCCTGAAGGGGAAGCGCCCTGGACTCCAAGGGCTTCTCCAAGGACCACCTTTTCGCCCTCAGTAATTCTTGGCGGTCCTGGGGCCGGGGAAGAACCCCAGGAGGCCGAAAACGGCACCACTTAAACCTCAGGGCCCTTTTCCTTACAGGAAGCATCTTCGCCACAGCACAGGGCGGCACACCCAACAACACGGACGCCATGGACCGGAGGTGCCTAAGCGTCCTCCACTTCTGGCTCCCCCCAGGCTGATCTGGCAGAGAAGATTTGGAACCCTGGGCCCCGGCTCTGGGCCTCGAGGGGAAGAGGTCGGGGACCACGGCCAAGACTGACAGCGGAAACGTCGTGACGATCTTAGTCACCGTCGACCTTGGTTAGCGTCAATTCGTGGATCATCGTCACCAATCGGAGACGACCGACATGAACCATGACCAAGATCGGCATCGACATAATCCCGCGCCACCTTGGTCATGGTTCTTCACTCGGAAGACGGACCACCACCACCTGGAGGATGGGGGCATACGGTGGTCAAGGATGGTGGTGGTGTGCATCGTTTCGGGCGCTCTCGCGGGACATCGTGCCCACCCGCATCTCGCGCACCAACTCATCCTGAACCCCCCAAAGTGGTGATGATGGTGCGCTCCCAAAACGCCCGCGTCACGACTTCTACAGAACGTCGACACCCGGAGAGCTCGACCCATTCTCCAAGCCCGGTTTTCATCCTGAATCGATCTCGAAGGACACCAAATCTCCGGCATAGTTATTAAAACCAAGTGTGCAATCACAAACCGAATGATTCGGGGAAGGCGTTGGCCAAAACTCTCCAACCGTGTCGACCACTCTCTCGCAAAAAAAATGCAATTTGCACAGCTACCCCCGCGCGTGCGACCCATATCCGCCGCCCTGCCTGCGCGGCACCGGCGCAATGAAATGCCAGTCAGCTGTCTAGCGCGGGCCCTCCCAACAGCTCGCTGCCGCGTGCGCCCCCCGCCCCCCGACGGCCCTGCTCCACACTCAGAAGGCAATGGATCCGCGCTCCCGAGGCCGCGGGCCCTCGTGGCAAACCATGGGCCCGCGCCTTCGCAGGCACGATGGCCCGAGATGCCTCCGGACGGCCCCCGGCGGCCTGCCAGACGGCCCACGCTGGCCTCGGGACAGACCGCGGAGCCCCCTCCGACGGTCCAAGACCTGGTCCGGAGCACCCGCCCAGGCCGCCCTGGGCGCCTCGAGCCCCCCCAGGCGCCCCAGGCGCCCCGAGGCCCCCTCCTCCGAGCCTCCGGGCCCGCGCCCGCACGCCGAGGCGACGGAAGCTGCCCGCCGCTCCGCATCCGCATGTATCTTATGTCTGCGAGGTGTCACGCAGGAGTCTCCACGGCAGAGCAAAAAGCTGCCCACGCGGGCAGCACTCCTTCGCAGTGGCTACAGATGGAGGGACACTGGGACGAGCAAATCAATAGACACAAATAACAGGATTCCTCATATTTTCCAATATTTTGGGGGGTTCTGTCTTTCCCCCCACTTCCCACATTTCCCCATCTTTTCCCGGGAATCGACGATTGATTGTGTCTGTCGTTTTTCCCCTCCTGCACGAAGGTCCACAAACCCTCCCAGGGACCAAACGCACCCGTGTTTCGAGCTGCGCCCCGCCGCGGCGACGAGGAGGGGCCCCGAAGGCCAGAAAGCCTCGCGCAACGACCGCAGAGTGAGTCGAACGCCTTCCAGAAGGCCCTGCGCGGCATGCGAGGCACGGGCAGCGATCCTCGCACGATAGACGCGCGCTCACGCGTGCAACACATGTGTCCCGACCTCGGCCGCGCAAGGGGGAACGGGGCTGATCGCGCAGGCAACGCGTTGCACCATGCACCGGCTACAAAAGGCAAACGAAATCAGGCCGCAATGATGCCTCTAGGTTTTGTGGCTTACACCTATACCTCGTAGAGCTATAGGAAGAATTGTCGGATGGTCCCCAGGCCCGGCAAGGGCTCCAGAGGCCGGAAACAACTAAGAACCGTCCGTCGTATTTTTGCTCATGGCTCGACGGGGTCTGGGCTACCTGCACCTACCTTCCTGGACCCTGGCTCCGGGCCACAGCCAGCATGGCCGCGCGCAAGGGGGTAATGGGGGAGGGGGGAAGGCCGCTCAAAAGGAGGCTGCTTCTTCCGGCCTTCCATCTGCAGACAAGGGGGGGAGGGGGAAAGGCTCCTTTGATGGAGGCGGCTTCTTACATAGAAGTCGCCGGCCATCCATCTGTAGACAAGGCCCGCGCCTTCTAAGGAGTAGGGGAGCTTCAGAACTCTCGAGCCAGATCGATCCGACAGGGGCCCAGGGTTAGATCGGGCATGTCCCCTTGAACGGACAGCAAAAAGAGAACAAACACAATGCGCAAACAAATGCTCACAAGTAGTAAAACAATTGTAGACAAATCGTCCCCAGACGATTGTTTGACTATTTCCCAACCCTCCTGTGGTGTTGGGTCCTCGTTCCTCCTCCTCCTCCTCCTCCTCCTCCTCCTCCTCCTCCCCCATCCTCCCTCCTCCACCATCACCATCATCATCACCATCATCAGCATCATCATCATTATCATCATACATCATCATCATCATCATCATCATCAGCATCATCATCATCATCATCATCATCATCATCAGCATCATCATCATTATCATCATCATCATCATCATCATCATCATCATCACCCGCTTCGGCACACCACTCACACGTTTCGTGGCTCCATGGGAAGCCCCACCGAAGGTCCCAGTGCTACCGTCCGCACGCGTCCCGCACACCCAGTACATCGTTTCGTGTCCCCATAGGGAGCCCCACCGAAGGTCCCAGTGCTACCGTCCGCATGCGTCCCGAACGCCCAGTACATCGCTTCGTGTCCCCACAAGGAGCCCCACCGAAGCTCCCAGTGCTACCGTCCGCATGCGTCCCGCACACCCAGTACAGCGTCTCGTGGCACCATAAGGAGCCCCACCGAAGGTCCCAATGCTACCGTCCGCATGCGTCCCGCACACCTAGTACAGCGTTTCGTGGCCCGATAGGGAGCTCCACCGAAGGCCCCAATGCCACCGTCCACATGCGTCCGGACAACCCAGTGCAGCGCTTCGTGGCCCAATAGGTAGCTCCAACAAAACCCTCATTGCCACCGTCCGCATGCGTCCCGGAAACCCACCCGCTTTGGCATTTTCACACACACACACAATGCGGCTTTTCGTGGCCCCATAGAGAGCTCCACCGAAGCCCCCAGTGGGACCGCCCGCATGCGTCTCGAAAGCCCAATGTGGCTTTTCCCTACCCAGTACAGCGTTTCGTGGCCCCACGGGAAGCTCCACCGAAGCCCCCAGTGCCACCGTCCGCATGCGTCCCGAAAACCCAATTTGGGGTTTTCACCCACCACGCACAACGTTTTGTGGCCCCATAGGGAGCTCCACCGAAGCCCCCAGTGGGACCGCCCGCATGCGTCCCGAGACCCAATTTGGTATTTTTGCATCTCCAGTACAGCGTTTCGTGGCCCCACAGGGAGCTCCGACGGCCTCAGCGCTACCGCCCGCATGCGCTCCCCCCGCCCAGTGCAGCGCTTCGTGGCCACATAGGGCGCTTCACCGAAGAAGATCTTTACAACTGCGGTACCCACAACTGCATATGGCCAAGTCCTTCGCCAGGACTTGTTTGACTATTTCTGTTTGTTGTCCACACCACCCTATGGTGCTGGGTCCTTGTTTTGACGAGACGGTCCCCGCTTTCCTCCTCCTCCTTCCTTCCTCCCCTTCCTCCCCTTGTTCCCCTCCTCCCTCCTCCCTGCACATGGTTGGGTCCTTCGCCATGAAAA